AAAATTAGTTTATGATAAATGTGGCACAAGTGTACGGATTCAGAAATTTTTATGACACAAAAATCAATTTGGGGTAAATATGATACGGATGTACTAAATTGGGATTTTTTGTGGTATTGATCCTATATATAATGGTTGAAGTACATATCGCATGATACTTTTCACCACTTACAATCCTATTACAATCATCTAACGTTTCTCCTCTTAAAAATACATTGAAAATATAATCACTTCGTCAAGAATAAAGTCACTTACCTTTTACACAATATAATGTCAAAAGAATGCCGTTGATTATTAAATATGTAATCTAAATAAAGCAAAGAAAGAGACGACAAAAAGCTTGGTTGCGTGGACCCACATAACTTTGGGAGGATGCGGTTGGGCTTTTTGAGGAAATAAAATATCATTGTTTAGGCGTTTCTCGAGGATAGAGGAGTCCCACATCGAACAAAAGTTTACATCCACCTCGCCTTATATTGCACAAGCAAGCTAGGAGGTGTTGTCTCTTCGGAGACATTTGATAAAATTGGAACGATAGAGAAGATTAGCATGGCCCCTGCGCAAGGATGACACGCACAAATCGAGAAATGGTCCAAATGTTTTTTACTTTTTTTAGTATATTTCATGTTCATTTGACTGTTTTACAACAAATTCAATATAGTCAACAACATTATGAATATTTACCGAAAGATTAATTAGATTTTCTTAGTTTAATGAAATTGTTCATGTAATATGCGACAATGAATGTATTACTTGTATATTTCTTTTTTGTTCTAATGACAAATGGTGTCTTATTAACGGGTCCTGCATGAATAAAACATTGGGTCATGAAGCTTTTAAATAGAAGCTAGGAAAGTCCCACATCGACCATTAACACACATGCATCTCGATTTATATTGTCCAAGCGAGACAGAAGAGGTTGTCTCTTCGGAGACAACCGATAAAATTGGAACGATACAGAGAAGATTAGCATGGCCCCTGCGCAAGGATGACACGCACAAATCGAGAAATGGTCCAAATTTTTTTGTACTTTTTTTATTAAATTTTTTTTTTTTTGATAATCGAGGTGTCCGCGTGGCCGGCGAGCTAGGGCTCAAACCAGCGGTGATGCCCGACTAGTCCTCGAGGGGGGCTAGCGCAGCATCCCACCGCTACGACCCCCCACTTAAATCACCGATGGGCGAGTTTTGAACCCAGGACCTCTCGTGAAAGGAACTGAGCGCAAACCAACGTTGCCACCGATGGGTGGGTAGTATATTTCATTTTCATATATTTGGAGTTTCTATAAATTTTAATATTTATCTCTTTGGTTCTCTTTAATCTATTTTACCTCAGAGAAGTCCTAATGATAGATGGTGTCTTGATATATACTTTTGATCTATTTTTGGATGTCATCGACCCCTCAAAATTCCAATAAAAATCTAAATTTATTGTTAGGTCCATGGACACACCACGTGACGATTTTCATTGCTTATAATCCCATTACAGTAATCTAACATTCTCCTCTTGAAAATTCATTGAAAATATGATCACTTTAGAACAAGATCACTTACATTTAACACGGTATAATGTCAATATAAGCCCGTTGATTATTAAATATGTAATCTAAATGATAAAGTAGAGCAAAGAGTCTCGCATTGAACATCCGATAAAATTGAAACGATACATAGAAAATTAGCATGACCCATGCGTAAGGACGACATGCGCAAATCAAAAAATAGTCCGATTTTTTTTAATTAACCTCATCTATTGTATTCCTCATATATGTTACTCCTCATTTTAAGTCCTTTTATATCTATTGCTGCTGTGGTTGTTGGATCGGCAATTTTTAATATTTGACATATGCTTACATTCACCATAAACAAAACAAGGAGTGGGGGAACCCTAAACTGTACCTGTGAGCTTTTATTTTTTATTTATAATCCTATACATGGAGGCTGATGAAACACTCTACTAGTTTTATAAAGGGATAATGACACAAATAGTCCCTGAACTTTGACCCAATGTGCAATTTGATCCCTGAACTTTTAATTTGTTCAATGTAGTCCCTAAATTTTAACATAATGTTCAATTTGGTCCCTGAACTTTTAATTTGTTCAATGTGGTCCCTGAACTTTAAATATGTGTTCAATTTAGTCCCTGAACTATATGAAAATATTCAATATAGTCCCTGCGCTTGAATTAATGGAAGGACTATATTGAACATTTTCAAATAGTTCAAGGACTAAATTGAACACATATTTAAAGTTCGTGGACCACATTGAACAAATCAAAAGTTCAGGGACCAAATTGAATATTAGGTTAAAGTTCAGGAACTACATTGAACAAATGAAAATTTCAGGGACCGAATTGTACATTGGGTCAAAGTTCATGGACTATTTGTGTCATTTTCCCTTTTATAAATCGATTAAGTCTAGATTTTTGGCCCATGCAGTTGGCCTTGACCAGCAGGAGTTTGCATTCGGTAGATCAAATTCGGACAAATGGCCTCTAGTTTCAAAACTGAAAATCCCCCAATGCCGCAATCAACTGTATCAATCCAGAGGATTAGTTTACGATTTCTAGAGCGGTGCCTTATTTTTAGGTTTAATGACTTTTTCCCAATGCTTTACGCTTTTTTTTTGTGATTTTTTTGCCTGAGCAAACCTTTGAACGGCTCTTACTGTGTTTCGTAGCTGCCACACATATTGTGTGGGGCTTCCTAATTACTAGCATCTTAGTAAGCCTGTGGTTACGGGCTCGACCACCTCGGATCTTTGCGGTTGGTAAGGAGTAGTTATGGCTCAATCGCACTATTTCGTAGCGAGTGTGAGACTCTTATGATAACGTTTAAAGGATATCATTAGCGCTAATCGCATCTTCCCTTTATTTTATTTATAAAAGAAAGAATATATAATTGTTAATCGACCCTTATTTTTACTTTTTACTCTTTCCAAACGGTGCGTCTCGTGTTACTTTACACGAATCCCTTTTTAGGTACCTTAAACTATTTCGTGGTAAAACGTAATTCAAGTGGATTTGTTCATTGGGCTAAGCCCAACCCAATATCATTATCTAACATTTCCATTAACCTATGGTAAAGCACCCGGCACATAATAAAAGCAAAGGATTTTTTTTTAAATGCCAAAGTTGCTTGGGCCACATGTCCCAAAACTTTGGAGTTATTAATGTGGGCCCTACATGTATAAAGCAATGGGCCATGAAGCTTTTAAATAGTAGGAACTAGGAGGAGTCCCACATCGATCATGAACATAAACGCACCTCGATTTATATTGTCCGAACGAGACAGAAGAGGTTGTCTCTTCGGAGACATCCGATAAAATTGGAACGATACAGAGAAGATTAGCATGGCCCCTGCGCAAGGATGACACGCACAAATCGAGAAATGGTCCAAATTTTTTTCTACTTTTTTAGTATACTTCATTTTCATATGTTCGGAATTTTTATAAATTTTACGGCATTTACCTCTTTGCCATCACTTTCACCTTATCTATATGTAATTTTTAAAGAAAAAATTTCTCCATAATTTATTTTCCCTTGTTATACAATATCACAACAATTTCATTTTCTATTCACAGCTCTATTTCAGCTTTACAAATAAAGTTCACCAAATATATTTTGTTTACTTCTTAATTTTATATATTCCAAATTTTATAACGTTTACCCCTTTGCCATCCCTTTCACCTTATGCATATGTAAGTAGAAATTTCTCTATAATATATTTTACCTTGTTTCACAATATCACAACTATTTCATTTTCCAGTTCGCGGCTCCACGTCAGCTTCACTAATTAAGTTTGCCAAATATATTTTCTTTGCTCCTCAATTATTTATATTTTATATCTACCAAATATTATCACTATTAGCTTCACATATTTATAGTTTTACGATTCCGAATTTAGCCTTCCCACTCTCGATAAGTTAATTCATGCCAATTAACTTCCAAAAATTTTCTGGCCTCAAAGAAAATTCCAAATAAATTATGGGTAGGAACAGTACAATATTAAGTGGGGGTACAGGCGAGCTGAGGAAAAGAAAAGAAACAAATATATTTAACAATGTTCTATGTATTTACCAAGAGTTTAATAAGTTTTCTTATTTCAACGATATTGTTCATGTAATATGTGGCAACGGATATATACCTTTAATATATTTATTTCTCTAATGATGAATGATGACTTATAATATGCTTTTGATTCTATATTTAGGCCTCATTGATCCGCTCAAAATTCGAATATAATATAGAGCTAATACCACTAAAATACGCCAAATAGGTATATTCGTGTCACAATTACCCCAAGTTAATTTTTGTGTCATAAAAACTCCCGAATTGGTGTACCTGTGCCACTTTTACTTCAAACTCACAAAAAATTCGAAATTGATACACTCATGCCACAATTATCCCAAATGGTAAATCTAGGATTTTGTGGGGTAAATGTGGCACGACTACATCAATTTGGGGAAAATGTGGCACGAATCTGACGATTTGGGTTTTCTTTTAGAAAAACTAGTTTAGGATAAATGTGGCACAAGTGTACGGATTCGGAAATTTTTATGATACAAAAATTAATTTGGGGTAAATATGATATGGATGTACTAAGTTGTGATTTTTTATGGTATTAACCCTATAAATAAATGGTTGAAGTACATATCGCATTATATTTTTCACCACTTACAATCCTATTACAATCATCTAACGTTTCTCCTCTTGAAAATTTATTGAAAATAAATCACTTCGCCAAGAATAAAGTCACTTACCTTTTACACAATATAATGTCAAAAGAATGCCGTTGATTATTAAATATGTAATCTAAATAATGTAATGCAAAGAGACAAAAAGCTTGGTTGCGTGGACCCACATAACTTTGGAAGGATGCGGTTGGGCATTTTGAGGAAATAAAACATCATTGTTTAGGCTGTTGTTGGAGAATAGAGGACTCCCACGTCAAACAAAAGTTTCCATCCATCTCGCCTTATATTGCACAAGCGAGGTAGAAAGAGTTCTCTCTTTGGAGACATCTGATAAAATTAAAACGATACAGAGAAGATTAACATGGTCCCTGCGCAAGGATGACACTCACAAATCGAGAAATGGTCCAAAGTTTTTTTTCATTTTTTTATCCAAATTTTTGAAAAGTAAAAAATATTATATCCTCATTAGCTTTCGTCTTCAATCTATATATTCATTAACCGATAAATATTATATGTCACTATTTACCTGACCCGACAAAATCGAAACAATATACTTTTTCAACCGAGAGTCGCAAATCAAGCTCATCTATTATATTTCTCACGAATGTCGATCCTCATCTCAAGTACTTTAATATATATTGATATTATGGTTGGCTGAAAATATTCAAAGCTTTACGATATGGGACGTATGCTTGCAATCACCATATATAAATCAAAGATCGGAGTACAATTAAATTGCATTTCGGTTTAGATGGTATTTCTCACGAATATTACTCCTCATCTCAAGTACTTTTTATATCTATTGATATAATGATTGGATCGAAAATTTCTAAAACTTTACGATATTGGAGGCATGCTTGCAGTCACCGTGAACAAAAACAAAGATTGTGGGACAATTAAACTGCATCCCAATTAATGAGTTTTGTTCTCTTTCTTTTAAATACAGTACCTTGAGGTTTATGGAATACTCTACAAGCTCCAAGAATTGATTAATTCCAGACGTTTGACCTCCCGTGTAGGTGATCTTGACCTAGAGGAGTTCGTATACAATCCATGAGATTTGAACAATTGACCTTGAGTTCTGAAGTGAAAATCCTCCAAGCCCCCAATCAACTATACCAACCATAAGCATTAGTTTTCCCTTTTACGAACGGTGCCTCATTTTCAAGTTTAGTAACTTCTTCCCCAATGTCTTGCGCTAGAGTTAAATGTTAACGGCTCTTACCACATTGCCTGGGTTTGATAATACTCGTGTGGAGACTTCATGACGGCAAGCATCTTGGTCAACATATGGTGACTGGCTCGCAAATCTTGGATATTAGAATCATGGGTGGTGCGAAATATTTATAACTAAAATCGAATGTTCCGTAGAGAGTGTAGGACCCTTATAATGACATTCAGAGGGGATTGTTAGCACTGGTAGTGGTCATCTCTCCCTACCTTTTTATTTATGAAAAAAAATGATTTGTTAATCGACCCTTATTTTTAGGTTTTGTTTTTTCCATATAATACGGCTTGTATGACTTTTCTTTTCTTTATCATTGATAGAAACCCCTTGTTAAATTTTTTAAATTATTTTGCGATAAAACGTAGTTCAAGCAATACTCAAACGTGTAAATTTCAGTCTTTCGATAATAATAATTGTTTCGTGGTTTGTATATAATCCATTTAAAAAAAGTAAATCCTCCCTTTTCAAGTGGTTTATTTGTTGGGCTAAGCCCAACCCAATGCCATTTTTTGGCAGTACTCTTGACTTATATAGTAAAGCACTCGGCATATAATAAAAGCCCAAGGACCAAACTGCCAAATTTGCTTGGGCCACATGTCCTAACTTTGGATATATTAATGCGTGCCCTACATGAATAAACCATTGGCCCATGAAGCTTTTAAATAGCACAAGTTAGGAGGAGTCCCACATCGATCATGAACACAAATGCACGTCGGTTTATATTGTCCAAGCGAGACAGAAGAGGTTGTCTCTTTGGAGACATCCGATAAAATTGGAACGATACAGAGAAGATTAGCATGGCCCCTGCGCAAGGATGACACGCACAAATCGAGAAATGGTCCAAATTTTTTTGTTCTTTTTTTAGTATATTTCATTTTCATATGTTCAGAATTTTTATAAATTTTATAACATTTACCTCTTTGCCGTCACTTTTACCTTATCTATATGTTTTCTCCGTAACCTATTTTCCCTTATTATACAATATCACAACAATTTCATTTTCTATTCGCAGCTCTATTTCAGCTTTACAAATAAAGTTCACCAAATATGTTTTATTTACTTCTTAATTTTATATATTCCAAATTTTACAACGTTTACCCCTTTGCCATCCCTTTCACCTTATGCATATGTAAGGAGAAATTTCTCTATAATATATTTTACCTCGTTGCACGATATCACAAAAATTTCATTTTCCAGTCACGGCTCTATGTTAGCTTCATTAATTTAGTTCGCCAAATATATTTTATTTGCTCCTCATTTTTTTATATTTCGTATCTATAAAGTATTATCACTATTAGCTTCACATATCTACAGTTTTGCGATTCCGAATTTAGCCTTCTCACTCTCGATGAGTTTATTCATGCCAATTAACTTCCAAAAATTTTCCGGCCTCAAAGAAAATTCCAAATAAATTATTGGTAGGAACAGTACAATATTAAGTGGGGGTACAGGCGAGCTGAGGAAAAAAAAAGAAACAAATATATTTAACAATGTTCTATATATTTACGAAGAGTTTAAATAGGTTTTCTTATTTCAACAATATATTTATTTCTCTAACGATGAATGATGACTTAATATATGCTTTTGATTCTATATTTAGGTCTCATTCACCCACTCAAAATTCAAATATAATCTAAAGCTAAAACCACCAAAATACCCAAAATAGGTACATTCATGACACAATTACCCCAAATTAATTTTTACATCATAAAAACTCTCGAACTGGTATACCTGTGCCACTTTCGCTTCAAACTCACTAAAAATCCCAAACCGATACACTCATGCCACATTTATGCCAAATCGTGTTAAATCTGGGATTTTTGGGGGTAAATGTGGCACGGCTACATCAATTTAGGGAAAATGTGGCAAGAGTGTAACGGTTTGGGATTTTTGTAATAGAAAAATTAGTTTAGGATAAATGTGGTACAAGTGTACGGATTCGGAAATTTTTATGACAAAAATTAATTTGGGGTAAATATGATACGGATGTACTAAGTTGGCATTTTTTGTGATATTAACCTTATATATAAATGATTGAAGTACAGATCGCATGATATTCTTCACCACTTACAATCCTATTACAATCATCTAACGTTTCTCCTCTTGAAAATTCATTGAAAATATAATCACTTCGCCAAGAATAAAGTCACCTACCTTTTACAGAATATAATGTCAAAAGAATGCCGTTGATTATTAAATCTAAATAAAGTAAAGCAAAGAGACAAAAAGCTTGTTTGCGCGGACCTACATAACTTTGGAAGGGTGTGGTTGGGCCCATCCCAGAAATAAAATATCATTATTGCCTTTCTTTGAGGATAGAGGAGTCCCACATCAAACAAAAGTTTACATCGACCTCGCCTTATATTGCACAAGCGAGCAAGAACATGTTGTCTCTTCGGAGACATCCGATAAAATTGGAACGATACAGAGAAGATTAGCATGGCCCCTGCGCAAGGATGACACGCACAAATCGAGAAATGGTCCAAATTTTTTTGCACTTTTTTTATCCAAGTATTGAAAAAGTATAAAATATTTATATCTCCTTATTAGCTTTCCTTTTCGATTTATATATTTATTAATACATAATACCTAATCTCCCAAAATCGAAATAATCTATTTTTTCCATAAGAGATTCGCAAATTAAGCTCATCTATTATATTTCCCACGAATGTCACTCCTCATCTCAAGTACTTTAATATTTACTGATAATATGGTTGGCTTGAAAATATTTAAAGCTTTACCATATTGGATGTATGCTTGCAATCACCATAAAATAATCAAAGATTGGGGGAGGGTTACATTGCATTTCAATTTAGATGGTATTTTTCACAAATATTACCACTCATCTCAAATAATTTTATATCTATTCATATAATGGTTGGCTCAAAATTTTTTAAATCTTTACGATATTTTACATATGCTTGCAATCACCAATAACCATAAACAAAACAAAGATTGTGGGACATTTTATCACTATTTATGAGTATTTACTCTCTTTCTTTTTTAAATTCAATACCTGGAGGTTTATGGAACACTTTACAAGCTCCACAAACTGATTAATTTTAACCTTTGGCCTCCTATTGAGGTGACCTTGATCCAGAGGAGTTTGCATACAATTCACGAGATTCGAACAATTGACCTCTAGTTCCAAAAGTGGAAATCCTCCAAAGCCCCCAATCAACTATACCAACCATGGGCATTAGTTTTCCCTTTCTTGAACAGTGCCTCATTTTCAAACATAATAACTTTTTCCCCAATGTCTCTGGCTAATGTTTAATGTTCTTTCCACGAGCAAATCTTTGAACAGCTCTTACTACATTGCGTAGCTTTGATAGAACTCGTGTGTTACTTCATGGCTGCTAGCATCTTGGTCAACATATGGTGACAAATCTTGGATATTCGAATCGCAGGTGGTGAAATGTACCAAATGTTCGTGGGAACTATATAATAACATTCAGAGGGATTGTTAATCTCTCTCTACCCTATTATTTATGAAAAAAAAATGAATTTGTTAATGGACCCTTATTTTGAGGTTCTGTATTTTTCCAAATAATACAACTTGTATAACTCTTCTTTTATTTATCATTGATAGAAACCTTAAGTTATTTAAATTATTTTGCATAAATTCCGGCCTTTCGATGAAGATAATTGTTTCGTGGCTTGTATATAATCCATGTCTTGTAATTGTGAGCACAAATATCTCACCAACACTTTTGTGAGGGGAAAATAGTAAATCCTCCTTTTTCAAGTGGATTATTCGTTGGGCTAAGCCCAATCCAATGTCATTATTTAGCATTATTCTTAACTTACTGGAAAGCACTCAGCAACCAACTACGAAAGTTTCTTTTTATAAATGCCAAAATTGCTTGGCCAAATGTCCTAACTTTGAATGTATTAACGTTGGCCTTGTATGAATACAAAGTTTAGTAATGAAAGCTTCAGGGCTAGTCATTTAATAAGTAGAAGCTAGGACGAGTCTTCAGAAGGAATGCACATATATCTCAGTTTATATATTCTTAGCGAGATAAAAGAGGTTGTCTCGTCCGAGACATTCGATAAAATTGGAACGATGTAGAGAATGTCTTCCGGAAAATATTCAAAGCTTTACGATATGGGACGTATGCTTGCAATCACCATATATAAATCAAAGATTAGAGTACAATTAAATTGCATTTCGGTTTAGATG